AGCCTTTTTATATTCGGTCGGGGGACGTACACTCCTCTCATTGCGGACAGTCGGGTCGGTGACGTTTGACGCACGACAGCGGTTGCGTTTTTTGCTGAGTATACCGGTGCGGGACAGCTATCAAGTTTCCTCGTGTTCCGAGGATACTCTACACAAGCCTCCTGCGTGCTTGACTCCCTTTCGGTGAGAGTTGCCCTTCAGAGTCAGCTACTTTCAATGGGATTCAGCTACTGAATTCTGGTCTTTCCTCTCGGCAGATTTCTACTTCAGACACTGTGAACAAGCTGACGTAATGTGACACAATTGCGCAGCCTGGTGCCCCCTCCTCTCTCTCTTCCCCGTAGGCCAATAAAATTGACTTTTAATGAATTATGTACCTCGCATGGGGGTGACACAAAGCACCTCATAGTCGACACAAATACTGAGATTTATGGAATGCCGTGCTGGGCGACTACCCAGATAAACTTCAAAAGTCCACAGTATTTTCCGGAGGGAGATGGAAGCGACAATCATACAATTTGTTTGAAGTATAATTACTTCCAGTTTTTTTTTTGCAGCAGCGAGCTTTTCAGTGCTGACGTCAGCTTATCTAAGTCGTGTGGGAACGAGTAACGATGGAATAGCTTTGTTCCCTCGAGACTTCTGAGCCAAGAGTCGTCATGAGGGTGAGTCAAATCTCCCATGACGTGGCCAGGTGTTTACGTCAAACTCGCCACGACCCAGAAGAGTGCACCGCCGCTAGCCCTGATTGTCTTCATCGAGTCAGACTTCTAGGAACGCTGCCCCTGTCGCTCAGCGCTAACAAGTTTTAGTAGGTGGGCGGTGGTTACGTAGCCATTAGCTCACCAACTTTTCACGGGATTTCTAGGTAATGCAAACTAGGCCCGCTGAAGGTTCGTGAAGGGCTTCTGAGAAAAGTAGACCAACACCTTGCGTCGAATTATTCCTAGCTCTCAACTCTTGAGGATTTTTCTTGGGCAGAACGTCAAGTTTTCATCCAGATAAAAACCTGCATTCATGGAGGAAAACCAATAGGTACCCAGTGCGTCAACTGGGAACCTCACCCATACTTATTTTCAGCTACTCTTCGTTGATGTGTGAATCCATGAGCTCTTTGGCGAAGAGGTTCATTTCATTCTAGGAGCGCACTTTTTCCTGAGGGCATATGGCCCTAATCGAATTCCAGAAAGGCGCCGCGCACTTCCGTTCTGTCACAGAAAGCCGCAAATAGAAACCTTTTTGCTTCTGATACTTCGGCCTTCAAGCTTACTGATTGCACGGCTATTTGCAGGACAGCGAGGTTTCAACCGCTTGCGAATCTCCTGCGCCGTAGTGTATGCAAAAGCAGCAGAAGTCACAGAAAATTATGATGCGATCTAGTTAAGAAGGGTATAAAGTATCGCAAGAAAATGTTCTCAGAAAATTGGAAAAAGTTGTATGAGATGCGCCGCGCACACAAATTCCTTATCGAATCGTAGAATCGTTTGCACGTAGACTTGCCTTTTTTATCAAGGAATTCGGTTTCACCTCTAGGAAAACCTGTAGGAACTGCGTCAGATTTCTTACAGAGAGCTCACATCAGCTAGGTTGACGCCCATCGATGGTCCAACCAAGGTGTGGTCCGAGGTGCACGGTGCCAGAATGAAAACTCGCAGTTCGGTTCCAAAACAGCCCATGAGATCGAGAAAAATGGGCCAGGTCAGCGATGGGTTGGCAGATGGTCCGCAACGGGCTCAAGGTGGGCCAGGTTTCTACTAAAACAATACGGGTCTGCTTTTTAGCAGACATATGACATGGCACAGAAAGCGCTTGTGTGGAGAATCGCATTGAGTGGTCATTAAAAATGTGGTTTACTGGGGTAGGGGGTCTTATTCGACGGGGGGATCTTCGGTGTTAAAATCGCAAAAATCAGGTGCGAAAATGTTCTCAGAAAATTGGAAAATTGGTAGCGAGCTTAGTGGATTTCGAAAGATTTGGGGGGAGGGGGTATTACTGGAAGTGTACCGGTGGCTTCGTAGTGTGGTTTCACCCGATTTAAAAGAATGAAGAGTGAAAGGTAATAAATAAAGAGAAAGAAATGGGCGCTCACCTCCACCTTGGAAAGAAAAATGTGTAAGAGGATCAGTGCTGTGGCCCAAATGCTTTCCTCAAGGGAAAAGCTGGCCAAAATATGAAAACATAAAGATTCCACCGAGAGTTTTGGTTCGATGAAGAGATAAAAACTGTAAAAATGTTACTTCTTTTCTTCACATTCGAGGATAAACAGACAAATGCGTAGATTGGCGACGAGGGAGGGGAGGAGGGGCATTTTGCACTTACGCTACTTAACTAGTTCAGTTTAAAAGTCGCAATCTGGTGAAAACTGTGAACTCTTGTAAACTCACTGTGAACTCTTGTGTGAAATAATTTTTATAGTGAATTTACAAGAGACATCCATGATCGACTTTCAATGAATCTTGGCATCGTGTGAGGTCCTTCTGATTAGATTTTGTAACCACAGCCAAGATATTAACAACTTTTATTTGGCTTACGTTTCGGCCTTGTCGCCTTCGTCGGAGCCTGGAAAATTCCAAAGATATGTGACCATACCGCCGAATGCCGTTTTCCAATAACTTGAGAATCCCCATAGACTAAAGCGCTGAGGAGGTCGCCGTAGCTCAAACAAGCACGAAACCGAACTTTAACCTTATGAGAGGCAACGCTAGCTTACGTCAAAAACGCGCCAAAAACCCAAGTTAAAAGATGACTGCTAGCCACAAAAAATTGAGCTCGGCGCCGCCTCGGCTGGACGCTGTGTGGGCTTCAATCGCCATCGGCTTCGGGTCGAAGGGCTGGGTCAGCTGAAGTCACCCACAGTGAGTCAGTTTAGCGGTGGTCGAGACGTAAGCTAGCCGTGCTCTCATAAGGTTAGTTGGTCTTGTGAGCTACGAGACCTCCCCAGACGCCTTTAGTCTATGGAGAGCTGTTCTCAAGTTTGAAATGGCATTCGGCGGTAGGTCACCTTATCTTTGACTTTCCAGGCTCCGACGAAGGCGACAAGGCCGAAACGTAAGCCAAATAAAAGTTGTTAATATCTTGGCTGTGGTTACAAAATCTAATCAGAAGGACCTTACAAGAGACAGGTGGTCTCTAGAAATTCTGCATGTATCAATTCGCGGCTTCACAAGATTTCACAGGACTCTATTTGATGGCCAACCCCCCCCCACTTCCCTTCGCCCGAAGTGCGCCCCCAAATAAATAAATAAATAGACAAAGTGTTGTGTGGGGAGCAACGACTCCCAAAAACAAGTCATTGTACTGCATTTTTCGGCGCTGTTTATCGACGGGGGGGGCATTCTGCTTTTCATAGATTTGCCAACCCATCTAGGTACCCTTTTTCGAGTTGACACGTTTTAGGATGGTGGCTAGACGATCTTGCTCCAGCTTCACGAAGAGTAAGTTTTACAAGAGTGAGATTTATAAACCGGCACTCAGGGCAGAATTATAATACAAAACGCCCCCCCCCCCCGTCGATAAACAGCGCCCATTTTTCTACGGTGTCATTGAGTGGTGAACAAGCAATAAATAAATAACAACAAAAAACAAGCGGATCATGGAGCAGCCTGAATAGTTACTGACAAGAAGCAAACAAGCGAAAAATGGAAACAGTTAAGCGGGCGCCAGTGCTTGCCATCTAGTCATTGATCCTACTGGGTGGTCAAATACCCCTGGCACGGCAATCGTGAGCAGCGCAGGTTGTACGCTGAAGATCCCCAACGGGGAGGGAGTCGTATTTTGTCGCTATTCCTC